GATGGCGTCGCCTAGTCATATCCCTCGTACCGGGCTCAAGGCTCCCTCAATATCCGACGACCCCGATTTCGCTGTGGACACGCTAGTCCCCATCCTACCCGAAGTCGCGGTCGGTAGTGTTGAATCTGGAAGTGATTTGTCGAAATAGTGTGTTAATGGTCCGTCCCTGGAAGCTGAATTGTCTTATTACTATCCGGATCGGTTAGTCCATTCCATTGTACTTTTAGCAGAGCTTTTTTCGTGCGAATTTTTACTCCCCATGTCCCCCCACCCGAAGCTTCGCCCTTTTTCGTGTCCCGAAGTCCTGTCGCGCTACACCGTGTTGTATAACTTGCTGTGTCTTGTTTTCTGTTACCAACTAAAACCGCCTTCGATTTGAATATTTCATTCAATATGCGATCGCGCACGCCGTGTGGAGACTTCGAATTCAAGCTCAAGTTGAGCGGTCCGTACCGCGCTTGCTCAGCGCTCAATTCTTGCACCATCAGCCTGTAGCTTGGCATTCCCGTTCCACGAATCAGACAAAACTTCGGGGTATTTGTTATTTGTTCCGCGTGTCCGCACAGGCGCTGTTACATAATTACTCGTACTGACTTATATTGACTAGTAACTGCGGGCTTCGCGGTCGACCGGCTCCGCCTGTCGAACCAGTCATTTGGTTATACTGTTTGTCGACAGGATCTCCACCTCATCTATAGGGGGCTGTGGAGGCGCGCACCGCCTACATCCTGACTCTGCATGATTCGAGTTTTGCGTGTATATAAACATGTCCCCAGGCTCAGAATTTACACTACAGTCAGGATGGCATCTACTCCAGCAGCTGCGGCGACCTCCCAGACCGTGACTCTCCCCTTCGTCGAGGAACTGTTCAACCCCAATTTCCTCGATGTTCTCCTTCCCGCCACGAGGAACCCGGTCTCTGTGTCTAGCGTCGTAGACACTCCCCAGAACCCGATGATGGACGCGCTGAAGTCCACAGCTAGCCACACTTTGACATGGAACGACGCACCGGCATTCAGCTCTACTGGGTCAGCGACTCTAGACGCGTTCCAGCACCTGACCAGATATGCATCCTGGGACACGATCGACTCAGCGTTGACGAAGGCCTGGAAAGAGGATCCCACAATAACCTTGAGACTCATCTGGAATACGAGGAGTATTCACGACGGTAAGGGCGAGAAGGAGCTGTTCTACCAGTGAGTGTCGTTTCCTGACCTTATGTTCCCGTTCACGCGGCTGATTTGCGCTTTCGTGTTTACAGGGCCTATGCATGGTTGTACAAGAACCATCCCAGAACCGCCATCGCGAATCTAGCATATCTGGTGGCTCCTGTCTGCAAGCGAAAAGGCAAAAAGAGTCGAGACTACGAAGGTCTATGCCACGGTTATTGGAAGGACCTGCTCAACATCCTCGGATTGGCCACCTTCGACGAGCTGGGGTCATTGGAGACCCCCTCTAGCGCCAAGTTCCTTCACTGGCCTCGGACTCCTGCATCTAACTCAATCTTCCGCCGGAAAAGGAACAGCCAGATTGCAAAGACTGAGGGGCGAGCCAAGGACGAGGTCGAGAGAGCCTCGCGCATCGAGGCGGCTCTGAGGCACAACGCACAGAAGAAGGAGGAGGCCAGGAATAAACGTTCTCAGGCGCGTGCGGAGTCGTATGAGCGTCTGGCGAGGAAGCTCCAGGATGTGAAGTACCGAGCACTCTACGTCGCTGTCGCGCGGCTTATTGCGGATAAACTGGCAGAGGACTTGGTGACCCTGGAGAAACTTGACTCGTTGCCCCAAGACGCAGAGCGTCAGGAGCGCTTCGATCTCCTCAGACAGCTGTCGCTGGTAGGGAAGTGGGCACCGACACCTGGAGGTGTGCATGACCGTCATACAAACATCGCCACAGCGGTATGTTTGCTGTTGCACCGCGCAGGGCACGTTGACGTCTCTGGGATACGCGACCCGCTGTCTAGATTGTCAAGGCTCCCGCTGTCCGGATGGTCAACGCTGGAGACCCACATCGTCCGGTCGTTCTATCAGCGGTGGGTTTTGCGGCCCCTCCGGTCAGCTCTCGCCTGCCCAGAGCCCCTTATGTCTGCGAACCGGTGGAACGAGATTCGGTACAACCGGGTCCCGTCGATCTGTATGAAGAATAACACGGAGCACTTCTGTCGGCACGACCTGGAGGGCTTCGGGCGGTACCTGATGGACGTAGAGTCCGGGAAGAGGAGTATCAGCGGTGCGACGTTGATGCCCCATGAGCTGGTGAAGGAGGTGCTTGACTTAGGGAATTACTCTTACCACGTCTCGGATTCGAAGAAGCCTTCGATTGAGGATGTCAAGAAGCAGATTGCGGAGATGAAGCTGCGCGTCTTCGAGGAGCAATGGAAGACGCTCATAGCTCGTCTACGTGAGGCTGGAACTCTTGAAAGTGTTCTAGCCGTATGTGACGTGTCAGGGTCGATGTTTTCTCCGTACTCTAGCGGGTCCTACAGTGACAAGAAAACCGTGCAGCCGATATATCCCGCTCTTTCCTTGTCGCTGATCCTGGCGCAGCTAGGAAAGCCGCCGTTCAACAACGGCTTCATCACTTTCTCGTCGAATCCGCAATTTGTGCAGGTGAATCCTGAAGAGGACGGACTTGCAGTGACGCTGCAGAACATGCAGGCGGCGGACTGGGGGATGAACACTAACCTTCACTCTGTGTTTGTGGACCTCCTTCTGCCTCTTGCAGTTAAAAACGCTGTCAAGCCAGAGGACATGATCAAGCGTCTGTTCATATTCTCTGACATGCAGTTCGACGAGGCGGAGCAGACGTCACGGGATGCGGCCAACTGGCAGACGAACCACGACGCAATCGAGACGGTGTATCGAGAGGCTGGTTACGAGGTGCCCCAGATTGTGTACTGGAACCTCAATGCTGGCTTCGTGAGCGTGCCGGTGGAGTCAGAGCGGAAGGGTGTGGCACTGATGACTGGATTTTCCCCTGCGATGCTGAAGGTGTTCATGGGCGAGGAAGGTGAGGAGAGCCTGAGTGAGTGGGCGACGGTGGAACAGACTCAGGCTGGAGAGGTGAAAACCAAACCAGAAGAGGAGTTCAATCCGATTAATGTCATGAAAAAGGTACTAGGAAGGGAAAGTTATAACGGACTTGTAGTTGTAGATTAATGTATGTATGATACCAACCCCCACCCACCCCAAGCTTGTATAATAGTGTACAGTAGTGCTACCCCCACTTCAGCTAATAACACTGTATTATCGTCTAAATTTTGGTCATTATCCGTGACTCTGGTGGTGTTCAACGAGGATAACTTACCCTCGTGTATGAATTACCTGGGGACCGTTTGTGGAGCATTCAGCTCTCAACAAAACTTCCTCTTCAGCAGTTTCGTCCGATTCCTGCCGGTACTTCCGAGTTGATGAGTCTCCCGAAGGGCACTAGTAGACACTAGTCAACATAATCCCTGTATTCAGTCATTACCATTCATATGAACTTCGGATAATTTGTCAGTTGGTGCGCACTGTGTCACATTTAGATGCAAGGCGATATTGTGGCTCGGCTGTGACAAGTCACGTGAATAGGTTCCATCTTGTGGCAAGACCCCCGGCACTTGGCTTAACCTTCTTGTCAATGTGTTTGTACATGTCAGTTTGCGAGATAGCACTGGAGGGACAGACGGCGCAGTATCGAAAGAGGGTGGGTGATGCAGCATCGCAGTGTCGCAGAAGGTAGAAATGTCAGTCTCGCTGGGCCGGAACGCAGCCACAAGCAGACGACACGTGTGGGTTGTCATGTAACCTGTCACATATTGATAAGCTTCTCAGTCGCTATCCAGATATCAACACCAGCCATATCTCGGATTCTTATTAGACCTTGTTGGGGTCATCCCGAACAGAGTACTAACTTTTAAGCTACATTGTTAACGCTCGTAGATTTTCGAAGATGAGTGGAGAAGAAGTACTACGGAAAATACTGAAGAAGATTTTCTGCTTCGGAGGATCCTTAGGAGCGTCTCGAACTTAATCATTCCACGCTGGAACAGAAAGCCTCGAATTTCGCTCAATTGCTCTCGAGATATACGCAATTACTTTGCCATTTATCGACGCTTTCAGAGCCGCTCTCCCGAGCTCTCAAGTCAATGCTCCGAGACCTCCATCTTCTCACAGCTTCTTAGATATGCATTGTAGTCTGTAAACCAGGTGTGTCGATTCTTCAGTGACCACTGCACACCAGCTAGTTTCTGACAAAGTAGAGACGTTCTGGTATTAGAGATACCTACGGCGTCACTTTACAAAGTTCTTGGCACTGCTACGAGCCCACTTGCCTTACGCTCCAGACATTCGATCACCCAACGCTAATCAATCACTCATACTCTTATCTATTGCCCGAAATTTCGACGACATTCACCGCTCCGGAATTGCTGCCTTCACTGGCTCAACTCCATGCCATTCACGCTTCCGAAGCCACTTCGTCCCTTGCCGTAAGGCACGGAGACGCCGCACTCCTTTTCTAGAGTGTCCAGTACCCTCCCCAACTTGCGCCCGTCTTCCGTCTACACAACACTCCTGAGTTCTACCTGCATGTCATACTAGATCTTGTCCCACTGCCCGAATACGGACGCTCTCACAATACTTCTTGGGCTATACCACGATCCGATTCAATTGTACGTTATACAGTTGAGGCGGCCTGCATGCAGGGAGTATCGAGGCTCGGATATCTCCCTCTATCATTTGAACTTCCAAGAGTACTTTGACTCGGAGGGAACTGATGACGCGCAACTGTTTGAACAAACCGTACCGGACCTAAGGGCGTGTTATTTAAACAGGACAGTTCGTTATGTTGTCTCGTCAAGAGGTGAGTGGCTCGCAATTCTCTTGGTTGAGTTGAATAAGATATGACGGATCAATGTTCACATTTTGTCATTGTGCTGCAGAGTTTTCAGCATTCCTATGCATCGCGTGACTAAAATTCATAGTCTGAATAAATCTGGTAGTAGATTGCAAAAAGGGTGCCCCCACGCTGGATTGAACAACGGACCTCATCATTGCAGAACATAAGCTCAGAACTACGAGTGATGCGCTCTACCACTGAGCTATAAGGGCTCACTTTGTGGGCTATTTCTATTTTAACTGTCTAGTGTAAGCAGGACAGAGATGAACGTGCCACAAGAATAGTCGTAGATGAAGGGTCTGTCTATGCATTGCCCCACGGAAATAGCATGAAGACCGCTGTAGTTCTGGCGCAATATGTATGCGTCGTAGTGATGATCAACACGCGGCAACGAAGCGAGTTCGCAAGGCACAAGCAATGCATCCTGCCGGTCCGACGAACTAAAGTTACTAAACCAGTGGGTTTCGAACCTTTATCTTTCATTTTATCGCTATTGGAACACCGGCCAGCAGGAGACAGAGAGTATCCGCGCCGGCACCATATGGATATTAGTGAATGGGCCACCATCATACTAGTCGTCGCCTCTGTTACCCCGAGTTCCTGAAGTTGGGAGACTCGAGGACGGGAACGTGGTCTGGCGTATGTCAAGGATAGGGTGTATCAGGTATGGCTTACCTGCAGATGTACGTAAACACGATACCACAAGACGAGAAGATACAGCGCCACAGAGGTCCTTGGGTCAAAAGTGAGGGCCTATAGTGCCTGACCTGTCACTGAGACTCTGGGCGAAGTGGGTTATGAAACATGCTCATCATAACGATACGGCAGGTGTCCTAGGTGCCACTGTCAGTCTCAATATCAACCGCAGACGAGTTGCAGATGTACTTGGACTGTGCACCCGTAAGAATATGCCTGGCCTCCGTGTCCCAGGACATCGGCTGTGAGAGACATCATGATAGCGATGTGCGAACGACGGCAGTCCATGGCTGGGAGCCTTTGACGTCTGTAGCCATTCAAACACGCTGTTAAACACAGGTGTCCAGACTAATATTCTGCATGCACAGACATGCCTCGGTTTAATGACTTCAAGAACGTTTCGGATGACCTAGATAGCGGCGTATGAAAGCACGTACCTGACCGGCCAGTTTACTCATGGCCGAGCGCTAAACTGTACAAAACGTCCAAAAAATTGCAGTCCCCACAGAACCCGTAGAATTCGATATAATCTAGCACGCTTACCTCTGCTCAACGAAGGGTATCCCAACGAAAGACGACAACAAGCAGGTGACGGAAAGTCAATCCAATATTACATAATATTATAATTAACGACCGGAGGACCGGCCGCATCCGGAACAAGCTGATAGCACCGCACCGTGCCTGGCCGGTGATGGTGCCTGTGAATGTAATTGGATGAAGTGGGTCCGATAACCTTTCTTTCCCGCCGCCAACGACGACGACGACGACGCTCTTCTCCTTTGCCGATTATGGCGCGTCCGACGACCTCGTCGTCCCGCCCGTTCACTGCACGCCCCTCTACAGCGCGACCCTCGACGTCTGCAGGTGGTCCCGCTTACTTCGACCATGACCCCCAATACACCTATTCGCACGAGTATTCTCTTGAAGAGGAAGAGGAGGAGGAAAGCGAGGATGAAGATGTCTTTGCGTATCTGCCGCCAACGACAGCCGAGCAGCAGGAGCAGGCACGCGTCGAGGAAATGCAACGGTTACAGGCGGCGCTCGCTGCACAATCGCGCCAACAGCACCCGCAACACCACTACCACGATCTTTCGAATGACCCAACGCCACTCTCACCATATTCTCCCTATACTACCCCATTCGCTTCCCCGACTCCCCTTCTTGCCTATCCACCACCGGCCTTTGACCCTTCATCGCCTCGACAACCGTATGACCCATATCAGACACCCCCAATCCCTTTACACCATCCTCCTGTCGAGAGCCCTCCATCGACAGCGTCACAAACCTCGGATGACCCCTACCGCATGCGGCGAGTTAGCCAGGCACCGCAGACTACTTCGACAGGCGCACGGTCCTCCCTATCTCGGACCAGCGACTTCTCGCGAGAAGTGCACGTTGCGCTGCCGCATACGGACGATTGCGAGAAGGGAACAGTGCCGGAGGATGAGCTCGTGGAGTGTTCTAAGTCAAAGGGAGGAACAGCATCGCTCGCGGAAACTGCTAGTTTGAGCATTAGCCCGAGCATGATGGAGGACGAGGATAGCAGGGAAGGGTCGATCAAGTGAGCATGATTCATCGCATTCACCCATCTGCTAATGTCCCACAGGATGGAGTTCGATTTTGACGCAATAGAGGAGGAAGATAGTCCTTTCCCGGAAGTGCGTGCGTCCGTGTCCAACATCGACGACCCGGACATGCCTGCCATGACCATCCGTATGTGGATTGTCGGCTTGGCACTTTGCATGGTTGGGGGGTATGTCAGAATCTGTTATTGCATTTCTTCCCTGACCGTACCCTGTGCTCAGTGCCATGAATGTCTTCTTCAACTTTCGTTATCCCGCCCCCACAGTCGTTCCTATGGTCCTTCTCCTTGTCTCCTACCCTATCGGCAAGCTCCTTGCATTTTCCCTGCCCATCACCACCTACCGCTTGCCCCGATGGTTAGGCTCGTACGAATTCTCGCTGAACCCTGGCCCCTGGAATATCAAGGAGCATGTGCTCGTCTATGTCATGGCTAATGTTGCCGTGGGTCCGCCGTACGCCCTTAACGCCATCGTTGTATCCGAGGTATTCTACCACATGAAGCTTGGCTTTTGGTTCAACCTGGTATTTGTTCTCGCCACGCAACTTACAGGCTTCGGACTTGCCGGGTTATGTCGGCGCTTCCTAGTCTGGCCTGCGAGCATGGTGTGGCCGCAGAACTTAGTCGCCTGCACATTACTGAATACTTTACATGCCGAGGACGACGAAGGCAGCGGTGGTATTTCGAGGTATCGGTTTTTTATGTACATCCTTGCGGGAGCATTCTTGTTCTTCTTCCTGCCCGGTGAGTGTCTCCATCGACGTGCTCGCGAAGTCGGCAACTAAGCACTTGTACAAGGCTTTCTGTTCACGGGTCTATCGGTCTTCTCGTGGCTGTGTTGGATCCTCCCCAACAATGTACCGGTCAATCAGCTGTTTGGGGTGTACACGGGTTTGGGGATGAGCGTCGTTACCTTCGATTGGTCCCAGATCACTTGGATCGGCAGTCCCTTGGTGATACCCTGGTGGGCCGAAGTGCACATCTTTGGAGGCAGGTATCCATGTTTCCCCTGTAGCATCTAGCCTTACATTGGTTCATAGGCTTTGTACTATTCTTCTGGATCCTCACGCCCATACTTTACTACACGAACGTAAGTTCATTTTCCCACTTCATTGGAACTATTTCTGAACTTCAAGCACGCCACAGACCTGGAAACTGGCATACTTCCCTATTTCCGCCAACGAGCCATACGATCAGTATGGTAACGAGTACAACGTCTCGCGGGTCCTCCAGGCGGATGACAACTTCAACCTCACTGCCTACGAGGAGTACTCCCCTCTCTACCTCCCCGCCACATACGCCGTGACGTATCTGCTCGCCTTCGCCTTGACGACTTGTGTAATCGTACACACCATACTATACCATGGCCGCAGCTTGCTGAACGGCATCAAGCGAATACGTATCGAGAAGGACGACATCCATGCGAAGCTGATGAGGAACTACCCGGAGGTGCCAGATTGGTGGTACATGACGGCATTCGTGTTGTTTTTCTCCCTGGCGATTGTGGCGGTCGAGGTAGGCATATCCACAGGACCTGTGCGACCTACTGGATTGACTGACGGTGATTCCAGGTGTGGCATACTGGTGTTCCTGTATGGGCGCTCGTGTTGTCGGTCTTGTTGCCAATAATTTATGTGTTGCCGTCGGGCTTTATCTACGCTATGACAGGCCAGGGTGTAAGTGGAAATAGCTGGGCATGAGGGGTCATACTGATGTCATCTTCTTAGATAACTTTGAACTTGTTGGCGCAAATTATTCCTGGAACCCTGTTGCCCGGTAATCCGCTGGCTAACATGGTGTTCAAGGCGTACTCGGTTCAGACGTTGACGGAGGCCACATCGTTCGTTCAAGATCTAAAGCTTGGGCACTATATCAAAGTACCGCCTCGAGCGACATTCTTGGGTTTGTCTTGATCTCCGTACCCCCTTTCTCCCCTTGGCTAAGTCAACAATAATAGCTCAGGCTGTTGCGACTATTCTTGCCGCATTTGTGCAAGTCGCAGTCAAACAATGGATGTTCGACAATATTCCAGACATCTGCGATGCCAACCAAGCAAGTCAACTTATATGCCCGCACAATCAAGTATTCTATACCGCCTCGGCTGTATGGTCAGTTTCCATAAATTGTCCGGAAGGCCGCTGCCAACGTACTGATTCCGCATTCACTTCAGGGGCTTAATCGGTCCTAGTCGGCAGTTCGGCACCGGCGCCATCTACCATCCTCAGCTGTTCGCCATCATTGTCGGCGCTATCCTCCCAGTGCCTTTCTGGCTGTGGCAGCGGCGCTATCCTAACTCATGGGTGAAGTTCGTGAACACTCCTGTAATCCTTAATGGCGTGTCCGGAATCCCGCCCGCCACGGGTATCAATTATTCGTCTTGGTTTGCTGTCGGCTTTCTTTTCCAGTATCTCATCCGGCGTTGGAATTTTGCGTGGTGGTCCAAGTTCAACTACATCACCAGCGCGGCGCTGGATAGCGGGACCGCTATCTCTTTAATATTTATTTTCTTCACGCTGCAGGTAGGCAAATCCCTTCGTGATTTACGGACCCCGCACGTGTGCTGATCACGACTTCCTTATAGTTCCCCAAAAATGGCAATATTCAGCTGCGTTGGTGGGGTAACGACGTCTGGAAGAACAGTGAGTGCCTCTCGCCTTTTCAGTTTCGCCACACTTAACTCACTCTTCGCCTTTAGCTGCGGACTATAATCATGCAACTCTGCGGCAGGCCATGTCGTAGGAAGAGTCAAAGTCGAAGCTGAAGTCTGGTTCATCTCCGATCTCTGTCATATCATTGTCTCGTTTTGTAAAAGGTGTTCAGATACTACTACCTCTCATTAACATTAGATTATTCTCCCCCTCCCACCCACGTGTCCTATTTATACCTGTCGTCGCATTATTCACTTCAGTCTGTGAGTTAGGCACGGTGGTGAGT